AATGAGATATTCAGTCATGTTAGTAGCTGGATCTGTTTTGGCCATGATCACTAAAGAGAATTCCTGCCAATATGCTTAGTGTTTTTAAAAGCAGAAGGCACAGTTGCTTTCTTAATTTACTGTGCAAAAGTTCAGTAATGCAAGTCAGGTTTATAAGCCTTCACTGTCTGGAATCTCTGCAACAACTTCTTTTCTGATACAAATTGTGTTCAGTCAACAAAAATTTACACTGTAAAAACTGGTGGCACCTCAGGCATCTCCAGGAGCAGCACAGCTTCTCTAAGGAATAATGGAAAGCTCAAAGTAGATACCACAAGATCACAATTTTCTGTTTTATCAACTTCTGTTACTTTGCTTAGTAAATGTACTTTTTAAGTAGGCCTCTTCTAAAATACTCTTTTGAGAAAATCGTTTCAGAGGAGTGAGATAATAAGAGTGTAACGTATCTGGATTAAAGCTTTGTACTTGAAACGAGTCTAGAATTCTTCTACTATGACATATTTTTCCTTATTTTTGACATCTTCTGTCAATTCGGATGTAAATTATCTCCAGGTTTATTCAACTAAACCAAATCTAATTGCATATATTTCTACAAAGTAATCCTGCATTCCTTTGTTGCTCAAGTTGAGCGTATTATTTGTATGACCCATAGATATTTCAATAGGTAGAAAGGATTCGCTGCATTTGTTTGTGTGTCGTTCTGAAAATATAGTTTTTTAAACAGATCTGGGACTCTACCAGGTGTGCCTTTAAGTAATTTCTATTGCAGTTATACTTTAGGAGGATTAGGAAAGAGAGTAAAAGAACTCTTTGTCCGTTAGATTCATTAAATGTATTCATGCGTGTGTAAGTGGTATAGAGGCTGTGCTGCTCAGGAATCAGATCCTTGTCCTAGGGTGCAGAAAAAGGTGAAGGGTGTGATATTTACTGCTTGTGTAAGTGTCATAGTAATTGTGTGTTTGATTTTATATTTTTAAATTACCTTCCTGGGCATTAAGCCATTTTTTTTTCAGTATTTATCTTTTCCCTGCAGAGTTAGGGAGGGTAAGGAGCCACACCTTTGAAGTGCTAAAAGTACAGCTGTTCAGGATGTGAACATGTAATAGTACAGATAGGTCAGCAAAGGTGAAGACACAAATAATACAAAAACTAGTCTAGAAGGAAAAAGACTTTGCTATAAAAATGTGTTAAAAAAAGAGTTAACTTTGCTATCTTTTGGTTTTGTGCTGTCTTAAATGTTTCATAGTGACACAGAAACAGTACTTAGTTGAAATGATTACCACAGAATTCATTTTTAAAAATACCTGTTAAAATAATAAATTTCCTGTGCACCAAGCCAACATTGGTTATATAGCAAAGCTCTTTGAAAGATCAAGTCTTAGCTCCAGTGCATCATAGCAGCAGTTTTGGTGTCACTTGAGTTACACTCTCTTAGCAGCTGAACATGGTGTCCTTCCTCTACCACCCTCGTCACTGGAGAAACTTGGAGCAGCTTAGAGTCTCTTTTTAAGGGGTTTTAGTTTACATTTCATTACAATATAAAGTACTTAGCAAAACCACAAAATATAAATTAAAAACACATTCACCTCATCAGCTGGTATCACCATGTGATGTGTGAGTGGACAATTAAGTGTGCGTACATACAACTAGTAGAAAAGTCAATTATTGTAGGACATGAAAATATAGAGAAACACTGTGCTTTTAGTATTTGTTCAGGCTTGTAACAAATGCTGAATGCTTAACTTGGTGAGTTTTGCAACCTTAATCAAGAAAGTGTTGATTTCACCCCATGGGTATCTGTGAATCTCATTGAGTTCAACAGGATTGAATCAGATTCAGTATATAAACACATGCTTAAATGATTTCCTGTGTAATTGCTAGCAACATAGAAGAAATCTTTAAATGATGAAGGTATAGAGGTTTGGGACAATGTAATTTAGATAGCGTGCAGGGCTGTGCCATTCAATGACATCTGAGCAAATACTGTCAGCACTGAAGTGGACTCAGAATTTATCCTAATGGTAATGAAACAAGGTACACAGATTTAAAAGTGAAGGTATTTTATACTTTGCATTATGAAATAATCCACATAAATTTAAGAATAATATTAATTAGAACACCACATTGGACACACCTTTGTGGGCAACAGCTCTTCCAGGGTCCTTTGATCTCTATTATGTATGATTCTTTAGTTTCCAATCCTTTTTTAAAATACTGTAAGCTACAAAGCATCTTAGATCTTTATATATCGTATATTTACAAGAGAGTCCATTTATTTTAGTAGGAGGTGTGTTCACTAATAAGGGTTCTATTCTTTGTAGTAAACAGCATATTTACAAACCACAAATAACAAAGTAGAAGCTGCAGAAGGGTTATGGTGTGATAATTAAGTACAATGGCGACCCATATGAACAGAAAATGCCAAGGAGCTAAAACAAAGCGTCAACAGCTTTGTTTGTTGACAGATGTAGGAGCCATATTGTTAGTTAATTGGGTAATGGTGTAAACATTTGCAAACTCTTCTGTCCCTCAGTGAATTAAGCAGCATACTGAAATTATGGTGAAAAGCTGCACAGTCCTTTTGCTGCAGAGACTCCACGATGTTTTTAGTTCACCTTCTAAGTATGAAGACATTGAGGAAGGGACATCGTGTTTTGCTATTATGGAAGGTACATGCAGTTTGCAAACCTTAAGAGTGTAGGCTAGGATATGTATCTTGACTTATGCTCAAGATTTACAATTACAAGACAATTACAAGTGAATAATAAGTTTCCATGGTGGTTACAGTCAGGAAGATTGTTTTCATTGCCTTGGCCTGCTTTTCAGATCTATTTGTTTTTCCAGCTGTAGAAGAGACTTGGGTTTTTAAGCTTTTCTTAAAAAAAAAAAAAAAGTTGTAGGGTTTGAAAATAGAGAGGTCTAATTAGCTACTGGCATAAACTGAAAAGAAGGAAAATTGCCTCCCTCAGGTGAGCAATAACTGATATGCTGCGAACTGCAGAGATCCCTATTTACCCCCCTGCCTTTCTGTGCCTCTGTGCAACAGTGCACTGTAGCAGAATACCAAAGCATTGAAAAGTGCAACAAGCTACTTAATTAGCATACTTCTGTAATCACAAACTTAAATGCAGTATTTTGGCTGGTTTTTACGTAACAGGTTTGCTTTCTCAGATAATAACCTTTCAATAATTTAAGCAGCATCTGTGCAGTAATGCATAATTGGACTGCAGATAATAGGAATCTAAAATTGAGTCTGGTTTTTATAAATTATTTTTCTCTTCAGACATTTAGCAGTAGCTCACTGTGGTACATGAAATTTAAGAAAATATGTTCCTGCTTTGGGAATCAAACCAATGCATCTGTTTGGTTTTTTTTTTAAAATTCTGTTGCAGTCATAGAGCTGAAATTACATTTATTTTAATGGACTTAGGAAGTGATAAGCTTTTAATATTTGTTTAAATAATGAAGTTTCTGTAATTATCCAATAAAACAATAGAAATACAAATACATTTTAAGTCTGCCTGATTTAGCTGAGGAGGAGAGAAAGAGGAGCAATACTGGGTTTGTTAATTGGTAACAGGATTAGGGAGTTATGTTTTTAAGAAAAAAATACATTAGCATTCCTTATTAATTCACAGTATTTGGCTTGCTTGACACTTCATGTTTTCAAAAAATAATTTTAGAAAGCAGAGGCATGATATGATCATAGATAAATTACACTTAACTTCAAAAAAATGTCTGTCAGTGTGCATTTGCATTTATATCTATAGTATAAGACAAATAATCTGTTATTCACAAGGAAACTTCTGGTAATTAGTGTGCTCATAAAACAAAATAAACTAAACCAGAATTGCCAGGGTAAATAAGTTTAAAAATGGAAATAAAATATTTCAGAAAATTATAAGATTAAAAAAGAAATAACGATCATCTTTCTGTACAAAGCTTTGCAGTAGTCTTATGAAGGGTGTCACAGCATTGGCATGTAAACCTGAATGTCTGAAGGGCACTAGGACCTTTTTCACCATTATTTTGTCTACATAAATAATGATAATATGTAATATTTACAGTTAAATCTTATTGTAATTGAAGAGATTTATCCTATAGCCAACAGTCTAGCTTCTAAATAGAATCCTCAACACAAAAGTTTCCTACTGACTATAAACTGAGAATTGCCTCAAGTGAAAGTCAGTAATGGGATAGTCAGGATGTTGAGCAGCTTGCAGGGTTTGGTGCCAAGATCCAAATGCTGAAGAATTTTGTCAACAGTGGTGAAGACAGTGCCAGTATCATCATTTTCCAAATTATTGGAATTACCCTGTATGCACACCTCCACAAGCGATTTCCTAAATACCTTTACAAAAGTATTGACTGGACTTGTGTGTTCACCAGTAAAACTCACTAGGATGACAGAAAAATAAGCACACAAATACAAATGAACAGTTTTTTCCCAGCCTAGGTTCCCTGAGGTAGCTGGTAAGCACCAACATAAGTGAAAGCTGGGTGCTTCACCAGGCAACTTGGAGCAAGAAAGGGAGCAGGAAAAGAAAGGCAGAGTAAGTTGCCCCTTTCAGTGGAGAGATCACATTGGATTGGCTATGCTGCTTGCACCGTCAGTTTGATTGAAATTTTAGGATGCTTATCTGGGAGTGCAGTTTTATTTTTCATCTTAACTCATGCATTTTAGTAATCCTCCCAAAAGATCTTAACTTCGATCAAACAAGATATATTCATACATTGATTTATGGTAGAAAACCAGACCTCCTTGGAATTAATATCGTAGATTCTGGTTAGTATTATTCTGTTTATTGTTGTTACAAAATAATAATAGTAACACACAAAATACAATATGTATTTCTTACTCTGCATCCTGGGAATTCATGCTCAAAACTTCAGTTATCACTGACAGGCTTGAAAGTGTCCCTGGTGAAAATCTGCCCTGTGAAGATGAACAGTTCAAAAAAGTCTACTTACACAAAACCTTCTCATTCTTCTCTTGGCAGGTGACCCAGCTGGATCCAAATAAATCATTACTGGAGGTAAAACTGTATCCTCAAGAAACCCTTTTCCTAGAGGCAAAAGAATAGATCATGCCCCATTGTAGGACTGATCATCCTGGGCAAGCCAGAGGCACTGCATTGAAAGGAAGACTTCTATCAACGCCACCTTGTACTAGCATCCAACTCAATTCAATGTCACAACTTTGCCTCTTGCAAGAATCCTGAAAAATTGAAAAAAACCCATAGCTACTTAGTTTCACATACATGAGTATATGTTTCCAACCTCATTTAAATGAGCAGAGGATAAAGTTCTGCTACGAACACTGAACATTATGACTCTGTTGCTCACTTATCATCCAGCTTTTGTTATAATTAATGCACTGTTAAAATGTGAGTGATTGTTAAGTAGAATTTTTACTCCTCAAATGCCCCTTTTTCACCAAGAAATCTTGGACATTTCTGCCTGTACTTTTGACACTAGAATGCTGTATATTTGATATCTCGCTGAGCCAGTGCTCTCATATATATGCATTTTATTTCTGTGTTTGAATTTCTACTTTGTCAACTAATTTAAAAAGGCAGAAAAAAAAATTAACGGGACATTCTCAGCCATGGAAATTTAACAGTATTATAGTAGAAAGCGTATAATTTTTGTTAGTACTTTCTGACTTCTTTGATAAGATGTAAGGTTTTGTTTGAAGAATATAGTTTGACATATATGCGAGATATTTATTTACTGGTTCTGCTTTGGGTCTCAGTTCTGGTTCAGTTTAGGAAGTATTTTCCATTACATTGCAGTGTGTGAAACTGCTTATTGCATGATGTGAATATTTAAATAACATTAGAAACGGCCAATACCAGAAACCTGGTATCTTGCCAATACTTCAGGAATCAGCTGATATTGAATATCAGCTGTTTAAAAACCTTTCAAATAGCAGATATGAAAGTTCTTTATTTCTCATCGTGAAAGAAAGGGCAGTTCCCATTTTAGCAGTTTTCCTTTATTCTGGCACTTGTTTGTATCCTGTTACTCTGCTGTTTTAAAGCACCTTGTTTGTTTCATCAAACAATGAGTATCTTAAGAGGTGGTGTAATAAGAAATCTGCCTTATTATTGCACACTTTGGACATTTTGACAATAGGTTACTGATCCCATCTCAAATTAAAGAAATCCTAGTTCTCTTGTCTGAAATGTATGCACGAGCTACCTGCTATCTGATGTGGAAAAAATCTAGTACTTCAAAATTTCTCAGCCACAGAATGAGCATACCAAGCCCAACATACACGTGATGCCAAACCTGCACTGGAACTGGTTTGGTTCTCTTTTTTTATGTTGTGGTTTGTTTTGTTTTGTTTTTTTAATCTCTGGGCGTACAGGATAGTGCACAATAGCACTGCGGAATCATCATCTGCTAATCAACCTCTTTTTAAAAAAAATAGCCTGGCACATTGTTTTCCAGATATGTTTATATGTAATTCATAGTGTTTATCATAGCAAAATGCGTTCTGATTTGAAGATTTTATACTAAGCAAAAGCCAATTGCACACATCTTTTAGTCTTTCTTTTTTCCTTTGGAAGGATGGTGGTATAAAATTAAATGTATGCCTATTATTAAGGTGTTAATGAAGCTGATACATTGTTACCTTTACCAAAAATGCAAATTTCTGAACGGGAAAAGCCTTATTCTACCTTTTGTAATTCTGTAACTAGCGAGTGCTACATCAGACACTTTTAGAAGTGAAGTATCTATGACAAACAAAAGGTTTGGAAGTGTAAGCAAATTCTAATCATTTGCAGTTCACAAATAAAAGAATTCATAGCCAATAGAAAGATTATGTGTAATGGAAACTGAATGCAGATTCTTCATTCTGGACTTTTGTTTTCTTACCAAAAAAAAAAAAATCCCCAACATTTCTTAAATAGGAAATGAACATAGGTTGAAATTGGGGTGATGCTGTTTCTACAAACAATCACAGTAACACATACAGCAGGATTTTCAAGTGATGCATATCTTTTTTTTCAGATTAGCGCTTCCTTCTAAGCTGGCTTTTGAGGAAAGGAATTGCTGAAATACTGCTACACAGAGCAAAACGACCTTTCAGCTAACTTGTTTATATTAATCTGTTCTGTTTAACTTTTGTTTGATCTCTTCAGGCTGTTTTCTCTCACTCAACTTTATTTCTGTATTTTGACTATATATGCTTTACTTTGATACTAGTTTCATAAAGTTATTAAATGTGGCTTGAATATTTGTTGAACTTGTTGAAGTCAGTCCTCCCAGGATTTCTTTGGCTTTTATTTTCTAAACTCTTTTATTATTGTTTTTCCTCTCACATTGTTCGTATTGCAAAATACACTGTCATTGTCAAAATGTTCTAGTGATAATTAACTGGAAGTGTTGAAATCAGTAGCATTACTGCCCTCTGATATAAAAATACCAAGACCAGTATACAGGGATCATTCTGACACAGTGTAAACAAGTGTATCCCTCTTCAAATAAAACATTTATTATTTTGGTCCTTAAATAATTTGGGCCTGATTTCAAGTAGCAGCCATCTAGAGCCACCTTTCCAAATTACATCCTCAATGAAAAGCAGTCCCTGTGTAGAAGTATTAATATTCTATGCCATCATTTTCTGCTCTCCTAAACCATGGTATTCCCTTCAGCACACTCTAGTCAATCTACAGACTAATTTTGTCATTCAGTATTAACCTAACGCTGTAACACTTGTTACAGGAGCATATCCCTGAGTCTACCATTTTATTTTCAGGTTCTTCACATTAATGGATTGTCATTAATGTGATTAATGCATTAGTTTTAAGTCTTGAGGAATTACTGTTAATGAAAGGACTCCTGTATGGTGTGTCAAGTTTCACTGTTGGCCTTCAGAGCACTACGGTGAAGGTGAGGTGTGCTCTGACTTTTTAAGAAACTTTCTGCCTGTTGACATTGGCGTTTGAAATTATTAGAGATTATGCAGAACTCAAGTGTTTCCTCTGTATTCTCTGCATACACACTCATAAATTTAGTGAGAGTGCTGAGGGTGTTTCTAAAGGAGCTATGTTGGGGATTTTGTTTATTCTTTTTAACGTAGCAGAAAAGGACTTTGGCTTTCGTAAACTGTACCTACTCAGTGACATTAGAAACTTAAAATAAATTTTCAATTACAGTAATATTTCTACTAGAAAGTTATATGATTTTACTCTTCCATATGTGGGTAAAACTAAAATCACCATGACCCAGATTCACAGAGGACTGAAGCACTTCATTATCCACACCTCACATCCAGACTCCCTAAACAATGCACAGGAAGATGGGAACCTTATTTTCAGGCACCCAAAAGAAGCAAAAAAATACATAAACAGGTATCCAAACAAAGCAAAATGGAAACCCCACACATGGAGGGCCACTACCAGGCAGAACCAGAACCTGCTTAGAGTGGTCAGGAGGCAATGCTAAAGATTGGGATGTCTTGTGTACTCCACTCATTCCTGGAGCTAAGGATTCCTGCTCTGTGCTGTCCCAGAGCACCTTCCTCCAGTCTGAGTTCACAGCACGGAGACCACACATAAAAGTAAGCACCCAGTCCTTCCTTCCGTATTCAAACCACGTGTAGACATGGCACTTCAGGACATGGTTTAGTGGTCATGCTAGTGTTGGGTTGACAGTTGGACCTGATGATCTTGGAGGTCTTTTCCAACCTTTTATGATTGTAAACAAAGCACAGGATACACTTTTATTTCAGAACAGTGATGGTGGCCGCCTTCTGGGTCTCCCCTGCAGTTTTCACTGTGGTTTACTTTCCACTGAAGTTTTCCGATGTTTCGAGTCATGTGTACCTGAGGAGAAACAAGCCCCTCTGTCAGACATTTCAGAACACCACCATAGTACAGGCTGCTTTTAAATGTGTGTACTCTCTGCTGCCAAAGCCATTTGACTGCCAAAATACAGAACCATTTAAGCTCGTTTAGAGGGAAGGTACAAACAGGAGCATCAGTCTTCAGGCTGCCTGGGATGATCTACCCAACCCTTTCCGTGACTGTTGCAGTTGTCACTTCTCAGACAATTTACTTAGGAGAGACTGCATGTTGATCGTGTACCCTAGTGAAATTTTCTTATTTCTATAAAAGAGAAGGGAACAGCAGTAGCCTTGATATTTTTATCCAGGCGAGTCATGAAAGCAAGACCTGTTGTTCACTACCTGAAACCATTTCCTCACAGATGATAGAGATGGAGGAATACCAAAATTAGCACTAAATGTGTCAGGATCCAGGCAGTTTTATACTCAGTCTGGTACAGCTCTGGACTTCTGCCAGAGGAGCCACTTTTGCCCTCATCTGCACTAGGACCAGGCCAAAGTAGTCTAGTTAAAAACTAACCATTTTGTTTCCTTGAGTAGTTTTTTGTTTGATTGAGCTCACTGAGTGGCTGTATGTACACCAGCACTGACAAAAAGCAAGGGAAGGTGGAGCATGCAGGGGTTGAGTAGCTGAAGATGAGAGGGAGAGGAAGGCAGGGCTGCTCCCTCTGACACCAGGGCTGGTTTGTGTGGGTTTGTATTGATGGTAGTCCTCTAAAGCATTTACTTGATGCTATTTTTAATGTTATTGCCTTTATATTTTACATTCATTTTTTATTTCCAAGCAAATTTAGAAAGTGGTGTAAAGGTTTTGTTGTCTAAAGTTTTCATAAGTTCTGTGAAAATCAGTAGCCCAGAATTTGAGAAACAGGGAGCCAGGTGGGAGGTACCTTGAGTGTGTGCAGTGAGGGCAAGGCTCTGACTCTTACTAGTTTCTACCTGAAAGAGCAGACTACCTGCAGGAAAAAAGTGTCAACAGCATTTAATGTCTCAATAGATACCAGAGAATTTGCTCCTTGGTTAGGGTTTTCTCTGCAGATTCTTTTATGTGCAATAAAAGCTGAAGTCACACTGCAGCCTTAATATAATTCAATTAAAATGCCACTCAACTGCTGGTTATACATTTAGGCTTCATTAGTTCCTGTGCTCACAAAACTACTGGTTAACATGATCATTATTTTCTACTTACTCCCAGTGAGTTTCGGTTACTATTTTCCTGACTGTGTTGTGACAGTCTTCCTCAGTTCGTTGCTATTCACTTGCAATCCAGTCATCTTGAAGGAGTTTGTATCATTCATTAATATCATAACCTTACTACTGATACCTTTTTTTTCCCAGAAGATGTGTGAGTATCTTGAATAACACAGGTTCCCACAAGGCTCCCTGGGGACATTGCTGGTATCCTTTCTCACTATGAAAACTGTTGCTTGCTGCTTCTAGCTTTCAATCTCTGAGTGATCCTCCCCCTTTTCCTCAAGAAGAGATGTTTCCGCTGTAGCAAACGTCGCTGCAAATGGCTAG